ATATATATATATATATATATATATATATATATATATCTTTTGATTGGTATTCATAAGCTTTTTCTTTTTTTTACACACAGTACATATCATACATATATATTATGCTATAAAACGGAAATTCAACATTTGTAGAAAATATTATATTAGAAAATATACTTTGTATTATACAATTTTCAGAAAGACTTGAAAAAGGGCATGTATCTTAGAGCATTGGTAAGTATAATGAGAATAAGAAGCTTGTGTCTCCCTGGGTTCCCTACTCCCTTGCTTTAGTCACAGAGCCTCTTGTTTGGTTTTTAAAAATGTAAAAAATACAAATACATTAATTTCCCCTCAAATCAACTCAAGTTGACAGCTTCTGGAACTCATGTTGAACTTTTCTCAAGTCAGAAAGTGCAATATATGTGAGACAAGATTGGTTTGTTGACCTAAGAGGTCTAATTGTGACTACTTTGAGACACAAGGGAGAATAGAGACAAAATGAGATGTAAGACACTTTTCAGATTTGCTGCCATTTACATGACTGTTGCAATTTATTCAGTTCTGTATGTCTCAAATGTGTTAGAAAAACAAACCCAGTGTGAATTCAAGTAAAAGTTCACTTGTCCTTGCAGTGATCACTAACACCGAGCCTAGTGAGATACAGGCAGATGTCTGGAGGTTTCATGTAAGCAACTACAGGTTGAAAAATATGTGGAGACCTCCATTAATCAAACAACATTTACATTTTTGTCTTTGGTGTAACTATTAAGATTGTCTGAATCCTTATTCCTAGCATTGCATATATTTCCTGGATGTGTCAATAAATTATTAGAGAACTTTAAACGTTTTAATTTTCAAACTTTTGTTCTAACCTAAAACTCATCATTTTATTCTAAAAAGAACAGTTACAAATCTCAAAGTTGTTCAGTGAGTGCTGAAAGTACCTAAAAGTGTTGCTCATGTGAACGTAGAACTCATTCGTATTCGTTTAAATTATATTGTCAGGGTTCAATAATTATTGAGTCATTTCTCAGGTTCTTCCTAGTAGAGTCTGGATCATTTGGTTGAATTTCTATATAAAGGATGTTCTAATATTGTTTTCTGTTTTTACTGTGCCTTCGTAGCGCATGTCCAAATAAAGAAAACATAGCCTTTTAGCTAACTTTAACACATTAGTATAATGTTACTATGCCTTTCTTAAAAAAGTTAAGAAAAAAGACTAAAAACTGAAAATGAATTGTAGGTGAATACATCAGAAATTCAAAAAGCGTTCAATACAAAAACAACTGGACTTTATTTGTATTATTATTATTATTATCATGTATTATTATTTACAAATAAAGTCCAGTTGTTTTTGTATTGAATGCTTTTTGAATTCATCATGTCCTGGATGACTGAGAATCTTCACCAGCATAAAACCTCAGAAAGAAGCAAATGACAAACAACAGTTAATTAGCTGATCCTGACTAAATAAAAGGTGTCAGCTAGCCATGTAGCTGAAAGAGCTCATTAATGGCTAAAGGGTCCTTTGATGGACCATTGTCATGACCAAGGGTCATAGTTCTGTGAAAAATGACTATGAAGTTGAACAAACATATTGAGGTCCTGGATTTCAGATTTATTTGTTTTGAACAGAGCTAGTCATTTTTATTTTCTCTTTTAAGTCCTTGACTCAAAATTGTGAAGAAAATACCAAGATGATCCATGAGGGCAAAAAAAAAAAAGTCTTCCCCAAAAAGTAGTTCCTGTTATTAAATAACAACAGGATATTTTTGCAGACTTGTTGGGACTAATTCCAGTACCTAAAGTTACTTTAATTGTCCACAGGTGGATCTTGTTTACTAATTAAGTGTCGTCTGAACGTAACGATTAGAGCTGTAATGGAAAAGGTGTGAAGAAATATGCATGTGTCATTTCTTCAGTTTTATAATAATTAGATTATTTCTAAAGATGTTTTTTTTTTCCCAACAATTTAACTTTAATAATCTGGAGTATTAATGTTTAGAAATCTAATCCAAACAGATGTGTAGGCTACCTCTTGATCTATTTGACTTTAAAATAATAATAAATAAATAAAAAACGTTTCAGTTGAAGGTGGAGGAGGATGTGGGAAGCTTTTATTTCTCTGATTTATTTATTAGATATTTTTGGATTTACAGGTCCTTCTCAAAAAATTAGCATATTGTGATAAAGGTCATTATTTTCCATAATGTAATGAT